AAAATCCTTATGATGGAACAAAACTACTTCCGAAACGTTGCTAATACATACTTACTTGCACATCTTCACTTGTAATTTCTTTTCATCAAGTGAATTTACTTTTATAATTATACTATAGACATTAATTTACAAGGATTTGGCAGAATAGTTTCAAGGTTTATATAGATAAGAAATGATAATGAACCATGAATTGAACCTTGTGGAACACCAAGTTTAATATTTACAATTTGTATGTAACATTTTGTTACAATTTTTCAACAATGTGAAAGAGAGAAGGAATAGATTTTATTTCACATTTGTTAACCTTTTGTAGGGTAAGTTATTGTAATCGTCCAAAAATCGAAATTGAAAATTTTTGCATATCTTCACGTTTAAGAGGTTTCTGAACATTTTGGCATACCTTAGAAAAATTTGATGTGTGTGTTTAAATACAATTTTACGTCCACGTTATCGGGCGCACGGATCAACCGTTTTGAATGGTTTAAAAAACATTCGATTTCTATTGATAGGGAGATGTGCTGATTAGTTTTTGGCAAAGGCAAGTCCAGCCGTTTCGGAGATACGTAGCTAAATGTGCCAAATAATAGCAGTTTTGAGAGAAATATGCATTCGGTTTGAATGATTCAAAAAACATTCTGTTTGTGTTGACTAAACGATTTTTTTGGAAAAAGAAAAAATATTTTTTTTAATATTATAAATAATTCGGACTTTCTTAATTTTAATTCGGTACAGTATATTCCAGCAATTTGCCTCAAGGCGCGATTCCATACACCACTAGTTTTTTATTATGTACTTTCTGGTATAATTTGATGACACATACCAAGTTCTGAAACGTAAATATTTTATTTTTTAATAAACTAATTTCATTAAATTTGTTTATTTATACTCATAAATAATTATCTTTTAGATTGAAGACTACAAAGATCACATCGAGCAACTCAGCAAGCAGCTTTATGAAATGGGTGAAAAGTTTGTCGAAGAACAAGACAAGAACAGTTTGCTGCAAAATGAAATCTCGATTTTGAGACAGGAGCTGCGCCAGCTCAAGAGCAAAGAATTTGAGGCATTTTTGTCCTCTCATAACAATCAATTGGCTAGCGATGAACTGGTAAGTAAAATAATAGATACAGTAGAATGTAAGGGTAACATAATATATTGAATAAACCTTTTTCACTCCAATGTCGAATGTCACTTGACATTGAGAAACTGAGAGACTGTATCAAAGTGTTTATAATTTATCTTAAACAATACTATTTCAATTTTACAGCTTTAAAAAATATGCCCATTTTCAAATCATTTCTGCCGCAAAAATCAATTTTCCAATGCTATTATTTCTTAACACGTTTATTTTTAATCTCAAAAAAGTTATTTGAAAATAATACCACATTCTTGCAAATGTTCCATTCAATTGCAAAGTTAGCACATACTAGTGGGTATCAAAACTTGAATATGTCATTAAACTTGTATTTGTTTAAAAGTTAATATGTTAATATTGTTTTGATTGAGATACAGAATTCTTTTTGAAAACAAACTGATTTTGTTCCACTAGCTCCACTGCCAAGTGATACTCGACATGGTGTAATATCTCTTTTTGCTTTTAAAAATTTTAAAACAGGAGGGATTTTTGTTACTAAAATGTTTGAATCACGAATGAATGTAATGAAAAACTAATAAATATGCTGTTAATATTTTAGATATAAAAATATCTTTTACAAAAAACGTAATTTTAGTGTGAAGCTAGTGGAATATAAAAACAAAACCAGGGTTGGGATTGAAAGAGTTAAGAGGATGAGTGTTATTATTTACTATTTGTTTTTTTATTTTTTTAGAGCGAGATGGCAAAGAGGTCAACATTTCCAAGAGTTGCTCAGAAGTCAACGTCAAAGGTAGTGAAACCAGAAGGTGGTAATCATGTCATCGAAGAAATAACAACCACCACGACACGTACTGTTAAGCCTGTATCGAGTGTTGGTAAGTTTCAATTTGATTTTTTACTTTATTATAATTATTTGACCAGGAGAAGGAAAAGGAAAAGGTTATGTTGTCGACAGAAAATATGATCTGCTAATTTTTTTTTTTTTTTTTTTGAGACTACAAGTTGTTCCGAACCGTTTGATATCGATATAATAATCAGAAATTATGAGCAGAATAAATGAGCCAAAATTTAGTCCAAAGTCTGTGATCTGGTTTATTTATATAATCATTTTAATTTAAATTAAAAATATTTCATAGTTTGGACCAAATATTAATAAGTAAATTTTCAATTAAATTTGAAACTTTTCATAGTTCATAATAGTTTAATAAAATCATGAATTACGGTCTCCATTCTTAGGACATACACCGAGTATGTCCTAAGGATTTTATTCCTTCATGTAAAAAATTTAAAGCCAAAGTAATTTAAACCAAAGTGCTTTTTATTATCTTAATTTATTCCTTTGTATAAAAAATCTGCAAAAATGATTCTTTTAATTATTAAATATGTACGTATGTGATAAATTCAATTAATGCAAATATGTTACAGATATGTTTGTTTAAAAAATATCAATTGCATTAATTAGTCTTTAACAAAAGCTACTAGTTTATTAATATTAATTAGTTGAATATTTTTAATTTTCTGGTATAAATTTTAATTTGCAAACAAAAATAAGCTCTTCGGACTTTTTCGATCGTGTTCGGTTCGTTCCGCTGATCGTTGACCAATAGCAACCTTCGATTTAAGAATTGTGCAGTACAAGTGCGCATAACCTAATTCATTTGTTTTTAACAAAAGTGAGTGGTTTTAGTCTTGTAGTTTTTTAGTAAAGTTCCGAAATGAGGAGTTTATGGAGCTTTAGGTAATGCACATATTATTTTGCTTTTAGAAATAGTTGTTTGCAAAAATAGTTAAAGATATAGGGTCCGTCAAATAACTTTTTTCTTGAAAATGCTATAAAAAACTACTGAATATTTTCTCAATCTTAAATTTCTTTTTTTTATTTGAAAGTATAATTCTTTCGGCTAATAATGAAAAATTATTTCATTGAGATAGATGCCCATCATTTTAAATGACTGCCAAAAAAATCTAACTTGCTACCAATAAGAAAAAATTAGATGGCAGATCCTTTACATGATAGTTAGTTTACTTGCCCTACTTTTCTTTCGAAGCCATCTTGTATTTTACAAAGCAAAGATCTTATCTGAAAAGTAATATAAGTTCTATAAACTTATTATTCAAGCATTTATTTAAATAATATATAATATTACTCAACTTAAAAGTGATTTTTTGAATAGTTTATATACATTTATTAGTATTGAAGACACTTGGGAGTCTTTTCAAAATCTTTGTAAACCCATATTTCTTTCTATTGTCATTGGTACAGGAGTTCTTTGTTAATACACTCCTAAATTTGTGCTCCTAATTTAAAATTTAACAATTTTTATTTAATTTTGTTAAGCACTTTAATCTATAATCAAAATTACTCAACTTAAAGCGATTGATAAATAGTTTCTATAAATGTATCAGTATCGAAGACTCTTGAGAGTCTTTTTAAAAGCTTTGTAAAGCAATATATCTATGTTTTGTTAACACACTCTTAAATTTGTGCTTCTAATTTAATCAAATTAAGACAAAAGATGTAAAATTTTATTATTTTATTATGAACTTTAATCCCTAAGCAAAAATAAGCTTTTTCGGACGTCTTCGAACGTGTTCGGCTCGTTCCGTTTATCGTTGACCAATAGCATGCTTTGATTTAAGAATTGTGCAGAGCAAGTGCGCATAACCTAATTCTTTTGTTTTTAACTAATTTATGTTAACAAAAGTGATTGATTTTAGTTTTGTAATTTTTTTTATTAAAGTTTTTTGGTTAAAAGTGTCCGAAATGAAGAGTTTATGGAGCTTTAGGTAATGTACATATAATTCTACTATTATGTTTAATAATTGAGAAATAGTTCTAAAAAAATGGTGAATGGTACTTGCCTGTATCACAGTCGTGTTGTATTTTACCTTCAGCCAGGAATGTAAATGAAACACTAGATAGATACACACTTTGAATTTTATCGCTTGTACATTTATTAAAATAATAACTCGATTAGTTATATTGAAGCTTTAGATTAGAAGCAAGTGAGCCATTTTGTTTGAAGACTCTCGGGAGTCACTTTAAAATCTTTGTAAACCAATATATATTTATATTGTCTTGGTACAGTAGCGTTTTGTTAATACACTCTTAAACTTATCACTTGTAGATTATTAAAAAAAATATTATTAAAATTTATAAAAATAAATAAATATATTTAAAATTATTATATACTTATTAAAATAACTCGATTAGTAATATCGAAGCTTTATATTAGAAGGAACAGAATTTCACCCTCATCTCATTGAAGACTCTCAAGAGTCCTTTTAAAGTCTTTGTAAAGCATTCTATTTGTTTTATTAATTTGTGCATCAGTTTAATAAATTTAAGACAAAAGATGTAAAATTTTAATAATTTGTTGTGCACTTTAATCTATAAGCAAAAAATAAGCTCTTTCGGACGTCATCGAACACGTTCGGTTTCCTTCGTTTATCGCTGACCAATAGCATGCTTTGATTTAAGAATTGTGCAGAGCAAGTGCGCATAACCTAATTCATTTGTTTTTAACTTATGTATGTTAACAAAAGTGATTGGTTTTAGTTTCGTAGTTTTTTAATAAAGTTTTTTGGTTAAAAGTGTCAGAAATGAGGAGTTTAAGAAGCTTTAGGTAATGTACATATTATTTTGCTTTTAGAAATACTTGTTTGCAAAAATGATTAAAGTTATACCATAGTTAGTTTACTTGCCTTACTTTTCTTTCGAAGCCATCTTGTATTTTACAAAGCAAAGATTTTATTCGGAAAGTAATAGAAGTTCTTTAAACTTATTACTCAAGCATTTATTAAAATAATTACTCAACTTGAAAGCGATGTTTTAAATAGTTTATATAAATGTATTAGTGTCGAAGATTTACATTAGATGTTACTCATATTTCATTCTTATCTCTTCGAAGACTCTCGGGAGTCTTTTCAAAGTGTTTATAAACCAATCATTTATGTTTTGTTAACACACTCCTAAATTTATGCTCTCAAATTAATCGTTAAAGATGTTAAATTTTATTATTTTGTCATGATTATTAATATTTAAGCAAAAAATAAGCTCATTCGGACGTCTTCGAACGTGTTCGGCTCGTCTCGTTTATCGTCGACCAATAGCAACCTTTGATTTAAGAGTTGTGCAGTGCAAGTGCGCATAACCTAATTCATTTGTTTTTAACTAATTTATGTTAACAAAAGTGATTGGTTTTAGTTCTGTAGTTTTTTTAATAAAGTTTTTGGTTAAAAGTGTCAGAAATGAAGAGTTTAAGGAGCTTTAGGTAATGTACATATTACTATACTATTATGTTTAATAATTGAGAAATAGTTTTAAAAAAATGGTGAAACACTTGCCTGTATCACAGTTGGGTTGTATTTTGCCTTCAGCAAGGAAAGTAAATGAAACACTAAATAGATACACACTTTGAACTTATTACTTGTACAATTATTAAAATAATAACTCGATTAATAATATCGAAGCTTTAGGTTAGAAGCAAGTGAGCCATTTTGTTTGAAGACTCTCGGGAGTCACTTTAAAGTCTTCGGGAGTCTCATCGAAGACTTTTGTGTGTCTTTTCAAAGTCTTTGTAAACTAATATATTTTTTTATTATCATTAGTACAGGAGTGTTTTGTTAACACACTCCTAAATTTGTGCTTCAATTTAATAAAATTACGACAAAAAATGTAAAATTTTAATATTTTGTTGTAAAGCTCTTTCGGACTTCATCGGACGTGTTCGGCTCGTCTCGTTTATCGTTGACCAATAGCATGCTTTGATTTAAGAATTGTGCAGAGCAAGTGCGCATAACCTAATTCATTTGTTTTTAACTAATGTATGTTAACAAAAGTGATTGCATCTAGTTTTGTAGTTTTTTAATAAAGTTTTTTAGTTAAAAGTGTCCGAAATGAGGAATTTATGGAACTTTAGGTAATGCCCACATTATTTTGCTATTAGAAATAGTTGTTTGTAAAATTGTTTAAGGATATATTAGTGTTAGTTTACTTGCCTTGCTTTTCTTTCGAAGCCATCTTGTAATTTACAAAGCAAAGATCTTATTAGGAAAGTAATAGAATTTCTATAAACTTATTACTCGAGCATTTATTAAAATAATTACTCGACTTAAAAGCGATTTATAAATAGTTTATATAAATGTATTAGTATCGAAGATTAGCATTAGATGTTACTCGTATTTCACTCTTATCTCATTGAAGACTCTCAGGTGTCTTTTCAAAGTCTTTGTAAACCAATCATCTATGCTAACACAACTAGAAATAGTTGTTTGCAAAAATAGTTAAAAGTTACACGAATGAGTTATATTACACGAAGTTAGTTTACTTGCCTTACTTTTCTTTCATAACAGCTATGTTGTATTTTACAAAGCAAAGATCTTATCCGGAAAGTAATTGAAGTTGTATAAACTTATTACTTGAGCATTTATTAATACCATTACTCAACTCAAAAGTGAATTTTTGAATAGTTTATATAAATTTATTAGTATCGAAGACTCTCGTGAGTCTTTTCAAAGTTTTTGTAAAGCAATCTATCTATATTTTGTTAACGCACTTCTAAATTTGTGCTTCAATTTAATGAAATTAAAACAAATGGTATTTGTTAATTTAATTTATTTAATTTTAATATTTACTTTAATCTATAAGCAAAAAATAAGCTCTTTATAGTCTTCGTACGTTATCGACCATGTTCGGCTCGTTTCGTTTATCGTTGACCAATAGCATGCTTAGAATTACAGAGTTGTGCAGGGCAAGTGCGTAACCTAATTCACTTGTTTTTAACTAATGTATATTAACAAAACTGATTGATTTTAGTTTTGTAGTTTTATAGTAAAGTTTTTTGTTTAAAAGTGTCCGAAATGAGGAATTTATGGAGCTTTAGGTAATATACTTATTATTCTGTTATTATGTTTACTAATTGGAGAAATAGTTGTGTGCCAAAAATGATTAGGTACTGCGGATAGTTCATTTGTCTGTTTTGCAGTCGGACATCTTATTCGGATTCATTTAAACTTACTCCTTGTATATTCATTAAAGTAAATATAAACCCATCGCGTTTTTTCTCTTTGCCAATCAAAATAGCATATTTTTTTAAAACTATATGCTGGGTGTAAATGCATTTAAAGAAATTATCTTCTATGAGATACTTCCTTTTTTCGACATTTTATTTAAGATCGATGGCCATTTTTTTCAATCTTCGAGTAGGAGATTCCTCGCTTAATTCTTTCAAATATTTGTTTGGGTGGCCTGGTTAATTTTCGTGGTATTTTTTGCTCCTATCTTTTATCGTTTTATTAATAGTTTTTTAAGTCTTTATGAACCCATCGCGTGAAAAGCAATTTCTATACAATTAATATAGAGATGTTCTATTATCAAAGCATTTGATAGGGTTTTGAAAGCTTCTTTTTAAAGCCATAGTAATGTAAATCAAAGTGCTTTTTATTATCATATTTTTTTTATTTATTTATATATACATATATATACATTATTTTCATATCTCAGACAGACAGAGGTGTCTGGTATGAGAGATTATGAAAAACAGTTTTCATATAATATATACATTTCATTTGACTATTTCTTTAATATAATATCTATTATAATTAAAATAAATCTATCTTTATATATAACTCTTCAGTCTTCTTTGTCTTCAATTTCCTTATAATATTTCTTTATTTTTCTTTTAAGTTTATCGTCATCATTGGTCATCTTAATATCGTTTGGCAATTCATTATATTAATTAATTATTTAAATTAATTTAATTTGAAATTTGTTCTAATTTATCGTAAAAATGTTAAATTTTAAGTTTTTGCTATAATCTTTAATCAATAACTAAAAATAAGCAATTTGTCGACTTCGGACATCATCGAACATGTTCGGCTCTTTCCGCTTTTCGATGTCCAATAGTATGCTCGGATTCTGGATACGTGCAGTTCAAGTGCGCATAACCTAATTCATTTGTTTTTGTCATAAACATAATCGTAAATTGTGAAATGTGGTTGGTTTTTTAATTGTTGTTAATTTATTTGGTGTTATTTAAAAAAAAGTGTTTGGTTTACAAATTGAAATGTGGAGTTTAGGAAAATAAAGGTATTACTAAAATAAAGGTACTCTACGTAGTTTACTTATCTGTTCTCAAATTTGTGCTGTATTTGCCTTTATCATAAAAGTTATTAAAAAAATTAATTAGAACAATCGCTTATTGATTTACTAGTAGTTTACATAGATACAAATATTAATATCCAACCTATTAATTATTTATAAGTAAAAATAAAATATAAATTTCTGTCGTCTTCGTACGTTATCGAACATGTTCGGCTCGTTCCGCGTATCATTGACCAATAGTATGCTCGGATTCTGAATACGTGCAGTGCAAGTGCCCTTAACCTAATTCATTTGTTTTTGTCATAAACATAATCGTAAATTGTGAAATGTGGTTGTTTTTTTAATTGTTGTTAATTTATTTGGTGTTATTTAAAAAAAAGTGTTTGGTTTTCCTAACTGAAATGTGGAGTTTAGGAAGTACGTTATCGAACGCGTTCGGCTTTAGGTAATGTAAATTTTATTTCACTATGTTTAAAATGAAAAGTCTAAATTGAAGGTACTCTACGGCTTGAAGGTATTTGCCTCCATTTAAAAAAATAAATTAAACACTAATTAAAACAATCGCTTATTGATTTACTAGTAGTTTATACAGATACAAATATTAATATCGAACCTTTTAATTTTTATAAGTAAAAATAAAATATAAATTTCTGTCGTCTTCGTTCGTTATCGTACATGTTCGGTTCGTTCCGCTTATCGTTGACCAATAGCAAAGCTTCGATTTTAGAATTGTGCAGGTGCAAGTGCGCATAACCAAATTCATTTGTTTTTGTAAAAGTAATTGATTTTGTATTTTCGATGTAGATTTTTTAAGTTTTTTTGGTGCTTAAAATCAAAATGAGGAATTTAAGAAGCCTTAGGTAATATAAATCATATTGTACTGTGTTTAATAATGGTAGATGAATATGTATTAAAGCTACTCTAAATAGTTTTGTACAGTTTGATTTGTACTTGCTTTTGGCAGAGATGTTTTATTTTGTTCAAAAGTAAATTAAACATTGAATAAATTACTTAGCGAGTGTAAAGAGATTTTTAATCATTCTATATATAAATTGATGTATTAATACCCAAGATTTAGTTTTATAAGTAAAAATAAGTATGTAAATAAATTTGTCATCTTCGTGCATGTTCGGTTCGTTCCGCTGATCGTTGACCAATAGCAAGCTTTGATTTTAGAATTGTGCAGGTGCAAGTGCGCATAACCAAATTCATTTGTTTTGTAAAAGTAATTGATTTTGTATTTTCGATGTAGATTTTTTAAGTTTTTTTGGTGCTTAAAATCAAAATGAGGAATTTACGAAGCCTTAGGTAATATAAATTTTATTGTACTGTGTTTAATAAGGGTAGATAAATGTGTTTAGGGCTTCTCTAAATAGTTTTGTACAGTTTGATCTGTGTTTGCTTTTGGCAAAGATGTTTTATTTCGTTCAAAAGTAAATTAAACGTTGAATAAATTACTTAGCGAGTGTAAAGAGATTTTTATTTAGTTTATATATAAATTGATGTATTAATACCCAAGATCAAGTTTTATAAGCGAAAATACGTATATAAATAAATTTCTGTCGTCTTCGTGCATGTTCGGTTCGTTCCGCGTATCGTTGACCAATAGCAAGCTTCATTTAAGAATTGTGCAGTGCAAATGCGCATAACCAAATTCATTTGTTTTTGTAAAAGTAATTGGTTTTGTGTTTTTGATGATTAACATTTTTAAGTTTTTGGTGCTTAAAAGTTAAAATGAGGAATTTACGAAGCCTTAGGTAATATAAATCATATTGTACTGTGTTTAATAATGGTAGATGAATATGTATTAGGGCTACTCTATATAGTTTTGTACAGTTTGATTTGTACTTGCTTTTGTCGGAGAGGTTATTCAAAAGTAAATTAAATATTAAATGAATGAATTACTTATCGAGTGTAACGAGATGTTTGTGTATAATTAGTTTATATACAAATTGATGAATTAATACCCAAGATATAGTTTTATAAGCAAAAATAAGAATGTAAATTAATTTCCGTCATCTTCGTGCAGTTCGGTTCGTTCCGCTTATCGTTGACCAATAGCAAGCTTGATTTTAGAATTGTGCAGGGCAAGTGCGCATAACCTCATTCATTTGTTTTTAACTAATTTATGTTAACAAAAGTAATTGGTTTTAATTTTTGGTGTTAATTTTTTATGAAAAAGGCTATTGCTATAAATTGCAGTGATGATTTAAAATGCTTTAGGGTATGTGTACATATTATTTTACTACGTTTAATAATTGAGTGTATGCATAAAAAGTAGTTATGAAAGATTTCAGTTTTGACCAAATTATACATCTATACATATATATATATTTGTTCTTATTATTCAATTGATTGATTATTTGGTTTTGGTAGAAACAAAATAATTATGTTCTAAAGACATTCGATATGTAAAATTTTTCTCGTTCCTTGTATATATATTATCTCATTACTCGTTTGAATTTTTGTCATTGCTGCTTGTATAGATTTTTTTTTTGTTGTTCAAATAATTTAATTCTCATTGCTCATATAAATATTTCTTACATTGCTACTATGAATAATTTTTCATTGCTCATACACTTGTATACATGATTTTTTATTGCTTGTATACTCGTATAAATAATTTTTCATTGTTCGTTTGAATATTTTTTCATTGCTGCTTGTATAGGTTTTTTTCTAATCGCTTATATAAATTATTTCTCATTGCTCATATGGAAAACTTATACTCACATAAGTGATTTTTAAAGTATAAAAAAATTCTCATTGCTTGTATAATCATATAAATGATTTTTTATTGCTTGTATACTTGTGTACATAATTTTTCATAGCTTGTATTAATCTTGTATAAATAATTTCTCAATGCTCGTTAGAATGATTTTCTCATTGCTGCTGCTCGTATAGATTTTTTCCTTATTATTCATATAAATTATTTCTCATTGCTCATATAATGACGTCTCATTGATTGTATACTCAGATAAAAGATTTTTTATTGCTTGTATACTCGTATACATAGTTTTCCATAGCTTGTATTAATTTTGTATAAATAATTTCTTAATGTTTGTTCGAATATTTTCTCATTGCTGCTCATTTTTTTTGCTTATTTTAACAATCAGATTACAATACAATCTATAAGTTAAAACTTATGGTATTGAAAGAAAAAAAAAATAGAACAAGGAATTCAAGAAAAGAAATAGAATAAATTAATGAATAAAGAATAATTAAAATCATAGTATTAATAATAAAAACAATAACCAATAATAAATAATAATTATAAATAACTTGTTTGAACATTTTCCTGTATTGCTGCTCATATAGAATTTTTCTCATTGCTAGTGTAATTAATTTCTTATCTCATTCCATTATCCCAGGTTCGAATATCTTTATGGAAGACGAAGATGAGGTCTTCAATAACACCTACTTGATGGACCTGAAGGCGGGCCGTTGCGAAGTACCCGGTACCAGCACGACATTCAAGAGTTGCGAAAATTTGGCCAACAATAAGGACGAGTCGAATTTCAAAAGGCTGTCGGAGCTGAGATGGAGGAATTCTATGTGCCCCCCACACCTGAGGAGCTCCTACGCCACCGAGACCGGCCTGGAAGAGTTCAGGGAGAATGAGGTTAAGGTAAGGATGAAAAATAATTGTCAAAATTTGGAACAAATCTACTCAATTAATTACTGAGTTAACTAATAACTAATGGATATTTATTTATTTATTTATTCAACGCCCAAGGCAATAATACAATATAGTTATATTTTAAAGTGTACAAATTATAAACTAAAGAGATAGATAGCTCTGTATATATATATATGGCGTTGATGGCCATTCGATATTAAATATTATTATTTAGAAGTGAAACCGCAATTAACTGTTGTAGACTCGATGATAATGTGAGTTTATTGATAACTCAATTTACAACGAAACTGATATGATATAAATTTTGATATCAATTTATTAGCCCGACAATTGATCGCAAACTAAAACCGAGAGAACAATTTTTCGATCGTGAAAACAATAATCTCGCTATAGCTTGCTAGATGCGATATTCGCATCAGCGTAGCTCCAAATGTGCTGTGTAGTTTAGTCATCACATTGGCGTCAATCAACTGACATCTGTCAATAACATTTTCATTCCGCCACATATACATAACACTTAATATAAACTACAAATATACATGGTCTGTTCAAAAAGTACCCGGAATTACTAATAATTAAATTTCGCGGGTCTGGAGTGTCTGATTGTCAAAATTTTTTTTTTATTGTGTTGGTATACATGCCCCTAAAGTATGATGAAATTTTCAGCTATATTCACTGTTTACTTTGTCTGTGGTAGTCGCTAAGGTTCGACGTGTTTTTCTGAGCTCGGCGATTTTTACAATGGAAGAATTGAAAAGTCAAAGAATTTGTATTAAATTTTGCGTAAAAAATGAAATAAAGTGTTGCAAAGTGCAAAAATTCACCAGATATGGCTCCGTGTGACTTTTTCCTATTCCCAAAGTTGAAGAGACCCATGAAAGGACGGCGGTTTTCCTCGATTGAAGAAATAAAGGCCGAATCGCTGAGAGTGCTCAAGGACATATCAAAAAGTGAATATCAAGGGTGCTTCGAAAATTGGAAAAAACGCTGGCATAAGTGTATTATATCTGGGGGGGACTACTTTGAAGGGGACCACATTAATGTAGACGAATAAATAAATATTTTTTTGAAAAAACGAAAATTACGAAAACTTTTTGAACAGACCTCGTATAACATTAAATAAAAACTAATAAAATTAAACATTTAATAAACTATAAATCACTAGCTAAGACAGTCTTTTGAGGATAATTTTTCTGGTTTGATTTTTTCTATTTGTCACCAACAGACCAAAGATATCAATCTCAGAAGCAAATTCACTTATTATATTAATATACTTTTTTTACCAGTCTGTGGACACGAGTGCAACTCACCTCCTGCCATCAGACAACGTAACAACCGGCAGACGATCGACATTATCCTCATCTGGCCTGAAATGGAACAAGGATCGCGGCCAGGGCACCAGCTATCGAAAACCAGGTCCTCCGACACCCAGCAAACACGCCGGAAGGAACAGCATCGGTGGCAGAAATAGTCTTCATGTGAGCACCAATCACAATGATGATACTTCTAGTACTAGATTGTTTTTTGTACTAATTCTTTTTCCTCTTTTGTAGAGTTCCGATCTTCCCAGGGACATTTTGAAGGAGAAGAATGACAATAAATCCACCAACACCGGTGCTGTTAAGAAAGCGAAAGCCAGCACTCCGAACAGAATAAAGGCCATGTTTGGGGGATCCAAAACGCAACAGAATAACGAGGTATGTAACTGTAGTAGGACAGGTTTTATGTCTCGTGTGTTATATACAATGTTGTTGAAAGTGGTCGGGTATTGTCTTATGAGATGGAGACTTATGATAAGGGATGGACGAGAGAATTGTGATGGAGATGGGGGAGAAATTGTACATGATTGATTTTGAGAGCAAGATTTAGGGACTTATTATGCTGCATATTAGAAAAATGTTATGGCAAGGCCATGTTACGCTGCAACTTGCATACATTATGCTACTGAATCATACTGAATACTGTCAAAATGTAATGTATTTGCTGTGCATTCAGGCGATTCACACATAAACTGCAACGTCACTCGTATGTTATGGAGCTGTATGAGAAACACACTGTTATCTAACATCGCTTTTTTGCGGCATTTGTGCGGCTTTTAGGTTGTTTTCCCGAGAAATTCGCCTGGCTGCACACCAACCGCATGGCTTTTGTCAAAATTAGTATGGAAAGTTCATGAAATGATCTTGCCATAACATTTTTCTGTTATGTGGCAAAATTGGTCTCTTAGTCTAATGCTTATAAAAGGTGTGTTTTCTAGAGAATTGTCACCCAGCCATTTATTGTGTGCATATAAGGGTTTTAAATACTATTATGGTCCTTGAACAAAACTACAAGTTATTGGTAGTCTGTTGGTTTTTATGTCAATTCATTGTTGGTACCCATACTGTCACCATTAGTACAATGAGAGACATTACAGTTGCATTTGTGATTTGACAAGGTATTTACAGTATATTAAAGAATGTCTGTAAATGAATTGTCAATAGTTTGTGGTTGACTAAGTTGTTGAAGTAATGACACTTTCCGATGATCAGAATAGTGTAGTTTTATAAAAAGTAAATAAACAAAACATCGGATTTAAAATGAAGAACATTGTCTAATATTCATAAGTATTATATAAACTGAATTGCAATGTTAAGACTACTTATTTGAATTTGAATTGAAATCCGAATTATTTCTGATATTACAAAATAACATTTTTTTGGAGATTAAAAAAAAATGAAAAAAAAAATCTTTTTTAGAAACTTATTTGAATCATTCAAATCGGAAGCTTAGTTTTCTTAAAAACCGCCATTTTTTGAGCTTTTAAACTTTCCATGGGGTACGTTAAATTAATCGCAAAAAATCGAAAATCAAAATTTTTATATATCTTCACGCTTCAAAAATTTCTGATCATTTTACTGACATACCTTAGATAAAATGAATGTATGTATGTGTGTGTACGTATGTGGTTGCGTGCGTGTGTGTGTGTGCGGACACAAATTTTCGTCGACGATTTCGCAAACACGGATCAACCGATTTGAACATTTCAAAAAGCATTCGATTCCTATTGATAAAGAGACGTGCTGATTAGTTTTTGATAAAGGCAGGTTCAGGCATTTTGGAGATACGAAATGAAGAATTGATGAAATTTTTGGTAAGGCAGATCTGGCGGTTTCGGAGATACAGAGGAAAAAGTAAAAATAAGATATTTGGCGGTCAAAAATGATCATTAGACATATGTACATCGTATTATCATATATTTGATAAAATTTTTAAAAATGAGTACTAATTAACTTCCCGTAGGGCAAGTTATAGTAATCGCAAAAAAATCAAAAATGAAAATTTTTATATATCTTTACGTTTCAGAGGTTTCTGAACATTTTGGCATACCTTAGAAAAAATGGATGTATGTGTGTGTGTGTGTGTGTGTGTGTGTGTGTATGTGTGTGTGTATGTATGTATGTGTGTGTATGTATGTGCGGATACAAATTTTCGTCGACGATTTCGGGAACACGGATCAACCGATTTGAATAATTCAAAAAACATTCGATTCGTATTGATAAGGAGACGTGCTGATTAGTTTTTGGCGAAGGCAGGTCTAGCCGTTCCGAAGATACGGGGCAAAAAGTGCCGAAAACGGTAACTCAGTTTTTAAGAGAACGGAGCGTCCGATTTGAATAATTCAAAAAACATTTCACTTGTATTGACAAGATGAAGAATCGATAAAATTTTCATGAAGGTAGGTCTAGCGGTTTCGGAGATATGGAGGAAAAAGTAAAAAAATGAGCCATTTGGCGGTCAAAAATGATCATTAGACATATGCACATCAAAATATCAGATATTTTATAGAGATTTTAACAATAAGTATACATTTTGTTAACATTCCTATGGGTTCCGTACCAACGCTTATGCGTTAGACATTGACGCGGGGCTTACGCGCTTTATATTTTGTCCCTATGCAGTTAAAGCAGTACGATTGCTTTGAAAAGAAAGTTCAGATCTTCCACAATATGTCAAAATAAAGAAAAAAAATTTTTTTTCAAAAAAAAAAAAAAATTAAAAAAAAATTATTTTTTTAAAAAAAAAAATTTTTCAAATATTTTTTTTTTCAAAAAAAGTAATTTTTTGTCCAATTTATAGTTTCTCAAAAATCTTATTTTTTCAAAGTAAATTTTTTTTCAAAAATGTTGATCGTTTTTTAAAAAAATAATAATTTTTGGTACGGGAAGTTCCAGCAATTTGCCTTAAGGCACGATGCCCTAATTGCCTTAAGACAGAATTCCACTTACAGCTAGTTTTGTTACAATTTTGTTGGGGTCCGTACCATGATTGTTAATTTTTAAAGCTTACTTTTAACGATCCAAACAAATTTCAAAATTTTAATTTTTTTTTTTAAATATACTTCAAATATGAATTTTAAATTTATAATTTAGTTTGAAAATGTATATATTTCAAATGCGTTATTCTGATCGTAAGAATTATATCCTCAGATGGATTCGTTCGGCACCTCTTGCGAATGTAAAGATTTTCAAGTGATTTGGACGATAAGGTGGTCATTGTATATTTTATGAGCGATAAAATATATAGTGCTTGATTATAATTATCTATTTGAAAATGTTTAAAACAAATGTTATTAATCATTGATCATTATTTATTGATTACTGATTTTTTTCCTTGAATTTTTAATTCTGGTACAAGTTCCAGCAATTTGCCTTAAGCCACGATGCCATGCACTACTAATTTTCACTTTTTTTTTACTAGAACTCCGAAACGGCTAGACTTGCCTTTGCCAAAAATGAATCAGCACGTCTCTTTATCAATGCGAATCGAATGTTTTTTTTTGAACTATTCAAATCGGTGTTCCCGAAATCGTCGACGAAAATTTGTATCCGCATAAACACACACATGCATCTATTTCTTTTAAGGTATGCCAACATATTCAAAAACCCCTAAAACGTGAATATATATAAAAGTTTTCATTTTCAATTTTTTTGCGATTACTATAACTTACTCTACAGAAAGTTAACAAGGAAGCATGGGAAAGGGAGTCATTTCTGATGCTCTCGCACCATGCATCTGCCTTCGGGCAGACTATCATTTATTACACAGGCCAACAAAGAAAATGGTGCAAACGATTTTAATGCAGTTTTTAAGTATATTTGGGGCGCTGATTTCAAAAATGGCATTGGTTTTTTTTCTATGAGCTTTAGTTTTCAAGATATGATATATATGATATATAAGGAATGAAAGTACAAAATAGTAATACAATTCAGAATGTTATTTTAATGAGATAAGCCTACTCGTACATACAAACTTACAAGACCCATCCGGCCTTTGTTGGGACATTAGTTGACACTGTGAAAAGTTCTTTTCCGTGACGACCTAGTATGGACCTGGTTTCGGCAACTTCTTTGTAAGTTCAAATTTAGAGCTGATACAACAAAATGGTTTGCAGATTTGAAATCAGCGCAAAAAATACTATAAGAATCAGCTCTAACATTTTATGCACCAAACAAACAAAAATGTTTTGTAGTCCTGTGTTATTGTTACCTCAGCCTTACGTCATAGTATCGTTTCGTTTTCGTCTTCCGCAGTTCCGTCGCAAGTCTCGTCGTCGCATCAGTTTGAATATCAGTAGGAAATTGAAAACATCATTTCGTTGTTTACGTAACAACTCGATCGCTTCGGAAATCTCCTCGGACTCATCCGGCATCGAAAAACACCAGCAAAGGAAGCGTATTGCGTCCGCGCCCAAACCTGGCGCGATTGCATCTTGGAGGGAGCCGAAGAAGTCGATTATCGACTCGTTTTCGTCGAGTACCACCGATGATGATGATGATGATGATGATGTTTCTGTCGCATCGAACAACGTCTCACATGGTGTGGACGACTTTGGAGTTTTCACTGAAGATTTAAAATACTACGTGGATTTATTAAAAGAAGGATTCGAGACAAAGTTGAGTTTGAGGAGAAGAAATCGCATTGGTGCACAGTCGACGCCGAAAAAGTTGGACAGGAAAACTTTGCTGGATGATCAGAAACCTACAGCATCTTGCAGTGTGAAAGTTGACTCTCCAACAGAAGTTTTGCGTATCCAGACAGACGATCGCCAAAACCTCGTCACTAGCAACTTTATCCTGACCCCTATCATCGAGCAACAAACACCAGCGGATGCCCAAACTCCGCAAAATCTCGTTCGCCAAGTTTTGAGCATCAGGTCGTCGACTCCTAGAATTTCCCAATCTTTTACCAGTCCCAATCCCAATCATGTGGTGATCGATCTGCCTTCGATTAGAAGATCGAGGTTGTCATTGCCGAGTAGTGCTGGTCACAGGACGGTCATTACATACAGCGAACAGGAGCAGATAGTACTTAGTGGACGAAATCGATTATTTGAGGAGAATATGGTGACGATGATGTTGGTTGCTGTTATTTTAGTGGTGTTTGCTTCGGTTCTGGTTTACTACAAATATCAAACGAAGGATTGAGATAAGCAAAAGGAATGGCACCATATGGCTTACACCAAGTTTTCTGTGAAATGTGATATGAAAGAAATTAAGAGTTTGCTTTGTGTTTTTATAATGTGATGATTAATTTGGTAATTAAATCAGTATTCAAATTTTATTAAATTATTATTCTTGGTTATATTATAATAAGCGTGGTTATATGTTGTATTACAAACCAGTATAAATTAATTCTTTTAATTTAAATATTTGAATAAATACTGTGATATATTGTGCCAACCAAAAGTAGCTGTTTAAAATAATTTTAACCTATTACTGCAATAATAATCTTTGAGTTTGATTATTATTACGAATTTTATTTATTATAAATTATACTTAATAATCTATCATTTTATTGTTGATGCATTCATTCATAATTTGTATTGATTCTGTATATTTGTTTTTAAAATTGTGATCATTGATGTAGTAATTGTTGTATATATGTATATATTATATATTTTTAAAATTTAATACATAATATACGGTTTGAGTAAAAATATTTGCTGTTTTATTTATAATTGTAATGTGGAAAACTTGTTTTTTAGTTACTTGCAGTATCTGTTTTTTATTTTAATTTTTTTACATAAAACTTTATCCAATAAAATAACATTACTGTATGTAGCAATTGTTGAAAAAAATTTAAGTCGTCTATTTTAAAACTTTTATCCTAATTTTAAAAAAAGAGTGCGCGTAAGGTTCACACGCGATTGAAGTAAAACTTTTTTGCTATTGTACAAGATGGCATTTAAAAAAATAAATTTGTAAAAATAAATGCATCATATAAAATTTTGAATTTAATTTGCGGTTTTGGAAATTGATTAGTTTCATTAATACTAGGTGCCCAAGATATAGCTTTCCCTCGACTAAATAATATAAGATTTTGACTTTAACCTTGTTCATTAATTTCATTACTTTCAAGAGCTATAGTAGAAAGAGGTGCTACTAGAATGCATTAAGTAGTTAAAAGAAAAATATGTAAACTTCCTCAAAACTTCCAAAAGATTCTGAAATATAATTCTAAAAAAGTTAAATCTTCGGCAAGATAGAATAAAGTTGGGTTGCTTTAATATTCTTTAATATCTATAAAAATGCATAGAATCATTATGTTAAACAACTTCTAAACTTCTTTAGGCTCCTCTGCTACAAATTCGTAAAAAGTATATATTTAGAGGATAAATCAGTATTTAGTCGACAATTTAGTAATTGCTACACCTCAATTATTAAAAAAAATCAACATTCTATAATTTCTTGCAACAAAATATGGTTTTACATTGTTATTACAATATTGTCATGTTTTTGGGTGAATTGTTTTCTACTTGTCGAGACCTTTTAAATGATACCCCACAAGCGATAAGATACAATTTACAAATTTTGAAGTAAAACTTCTTTAGACTCCTAGACTACAAATTGGTAAAACGTGTACATTCATTAACTGTTCTTTTTCGCTGGCGCTACAGTCTCATTCTTTGACCATCTGTAATATCTGTCTTGTCTATAAAAATATTTTCTATTTTAATAACCTCAAAGATTTAAAGAAACTACGAATAATATAAAAATGATTTCAATATACTTACGTTTCTTACGCGGCCCAAATGTTCTGTTTTATTATTTTCACTCTAATTATTTACGGGAGACGGGGTAAAATATTCTTTTGATTCAGATTTTTTTTTTATTAAATCAAGATTTGTACTACGATGTAACCTTAAAATCCAATCTAATCTAATCTAATCTCGCACATGACACGACGACTAATCACAATCGACCCGTATACACTTGGCCGTAACTCTCTTCCGTTGCATTTGCACAGATTTACTCTCTAGTCGCGCCTAAAGAAATTATACTTGAAAAAACATTTATTTTCAGTGAATTCCCAATTTTCTAGATCTAGTTTTCTTTTATGTTTTCATTTTGGAAAGATCTTACTATAAAAATTGCACATGTTACCTTATAATTACGTTTCTATTATAATAATTAGTCTGTAGTGGGCGCTTATTAGAAATATCAATATCACCATACTTGCAGTAGGAGGGTGAAAATTTGAGCTTGCACGTATTTTTCAATATTAAAATATTGAAAATTGAATTTAATATTTGAAGCAAATTGATCCAAGATAATCTTAAAAAAGTGTTAGGAGTGGACAATCCTTGATAAAATTAAATTGTTCCATTATTTTAACCCCCAATTTTCACCCTTCTACTACAACACTCTTACCTATATTAACATATAACCGACCATCATATCTATGACTAGATATGAAAAATAATTATTCTTTTCTTTCCAGAATGACTCGCCGAAGAAACGACTCAGCCTTTTTAAAAGGCCGCGATAATTAAAAAAAAAATCAAAGGCTCCTCACGGAACAGACGCAAGTTTCGTCGACAAAACTTAGTTTTATAATCTGAAATTTTATACTGTAGTTTTAAGTTTTACGACAAATGGCAACGAGATTTTTGCCAGAGGCTATTTTATAGAAATTTTATAAAATTTTACTATTTATCAAACCAAAAAGAAACACGTGTTGCGCAACTCGCCGGGTAATAATTTTATTTACTTAACTATGATGGGTTAACAAGTTATTTATATATATTTATATATAAAAAAAACATTTTGAACTTGCATTGTCTGTTATGGATCCTTGCAATGTTTTCATTCTAATATTCTTCAGTAGAGATATTGATCAATGGTCTCAAAAATGGGGTAGTTCTTTTGCCTGAATTTATTATCTGCGCCCAAGATAGATAAATAGATTTTGATGAATTTATACCTATATTTCTCCAATCTGCAGTTATTTTTGATGGTAATATTCATATTTGGCTCGTCGTTTTGAAGCTGCTGGGTTTGATCAAAAATTCAATTGTAGAAAAGAAAATCTGAATGTTATTTTTATATCGACAAAAAATTTTCGTAAAGCCTTTGAGGCGTGATCGGTCTCTTGCATTGGATTATGCTTTTGGCGCTATTGTTGCTCCACAAAATGCAGATGCTGAGATAATAATAAAACTGTGGATTTGGCTTCTGACTCTGTTTTATGTTTTGTCAGCACTTACAAGAACCATTCTTGAAGAGTGGTATTTTCCTTCCGAAATGTACTGTGTGCAAAACTTGCAGATTCCGATTTGAATCGCCACGAATTTTCTTGTCCCTGGTGATTGTTATTTATCTGACATCTGTGACATGTCCAAAAATCATTTTTGGACATGTTTCTCTTTGAAGCTTCCACTTGTTCTCTTTGACGCTTCCACTTGTTCTCTTTGAAGCTTCCACTTGTTCTCTTTCAAGTTTCAACCGTAATAATTAAGCTTTTTGTCGAGATTACTTCTACCGAATTTATAATAATCGAAATAATCGAGCTTTTTGTCAAGATTACTTCTACCGAATTTATAATAACTGTCCTTTGCATAATTGAGCTTTTAGTAAGAGTATTGGAAAGCTCTGTTTTACCTCAGATGGAGTTTCAAATAGTGACATCACTTCTTCCACATGCCGAGGCAAAGGGCTCTGTCCAAACGCGTCTAAATTCCTTTCGATCTTTCAAATTAGAATTAATAGAGTCATTGCCTTCTGATTGTTTTGAGGTCTCTTTTTGTTCTTATGTCGTTGTCGATGTAACGACGTATCAGATTTTGTTGTACGGATGCAAAACATTTGGGCATGCTGCATCTGTTGATTCTTATTATTTTGACATCTGTGACATGTCCAAAAATCTATTTGGTCACGTTTCTGGTGATTCCATTTTTCTGCATCTGGTGATTCTTTTTAATATGGCACCTGTGACTTGTCCAAAAATCTATTTTGTCACGTTTCTTTTTTAAGTTGTCCAGATTACTTCTACCGAATTTATAATAATCGTCCTTTGCATAATTGAGCTTTTAGTTAACAGTATTTGAAAGCTCTGTTTTACCTGAAAGCAAGTTTCAGTTACTGACGTCAATAAATCGAGGTGCCTAAGTCCTTGTCTTTTGATTTTTTTCTGTTAGATTTGGTTCTTTATATGCCGTTATTATTTATCAGATTATTCATCTGGAACAGAACATTCTTTTGGAGCAACTTTCCACTTTACTCCAATCTGTAGATTCCAAATTTGAGTTCTGATGGGCTACTGTTCTCAACACAGAAACATTGATGGTCTCATGTTATATTTGAGCCAAGGCAAAGGGCTCTCTCCAAACGCGTCTAAATTCCTTTCAATCTTTCAAATTAGAATAAATCGAAGTGCTTGACCTTTACCTGTTTTTCTACAATATTTGGTTCTTTATAAGTGATTTTATTACACTTTATGAGTGTATTTATCTCATTACTCATCTGGAACAGAACATTATCTTGGAGTTTCTTTCCATTTTAATCACCACAAATTTTGTTGTCCGAATGCAAATCATTTGGACATGCTGCATCTGGTGATTGTTATTATTTTGACATCTGTGACATGTCCAAAAATCAATTTTGTCACGTTTCTGATGATTCCATTTTTCTGCATCTGGTGATTCTTATTAACAAGGCATCTGTGACATGTCCAAAAATCCATTCTGTCTGGTTCTCTTTCAAGTTATCGAGATTACTTCTACCGAATTTATAATAACCGTAATAATTGAGCTTTTAGTAATAGTAATCTATTTTGCAACGTTCCTCTTTTTTGTCGTAAATCTTTTTTCAAAATTTTCAATGACAAGAATACACAATAAGCTTCTATCAGGTCTGATGAACAAGATGCCAAAATAAAGGTCTCTGTTCAAACGTGTCTAAATTCCTTTCATTCTTTCAAATTAGAGACGATTACAATAAATAGAGGTGCCCAAAATCTCGTCATTTGATCGTTTTGGAGTCACTTTGTGTTCTTCATATGTCGTTGTCGATGTAACGCCGTATCAGATTACTCGAGAACATTCTTTTGGATTTTAATCGACAAGAGTTTTGTTGTCCAAATGCAAAACATTTGGGCATGCTGCATCTGGTCATTCTTATTAACATAGCATCTGTGACATGTCCAAAAATCTATTTTGTCACGTTTTACCTTTCAAGTTGTAGAGATTACTTCTACCGAATTTATAATAACCGTCCTTTGCGTAATTCAGTTTTTAGTAACAGTATTGGAGAGCTTTCTT